CTGTTGTTGTGTGTGTGTGTGTGTGTGTGTGTGTGTGTGTGTGGAGGGTGAGCATGTAAGGAGTGTAAGGAGTAAGTGTGAACAGGGTGTGTAAGTGTATGGGTCTGGGGAGATGTATATGCCTCGGTGTGTGTATGCAGATGTGTGTGCGTGAGAGATGTGGATATATTTATGAATGCATGTGTCTGCATTGGGGGAATGATACGTGTTTTGCTTGGGTGCGTGGGTGGGCTGGGTGCAGAAAGGGATGCACCATTATAAGGGCACAGTGTGCATTTGTGCCTCCCTGTGTGTGTGAGGGTGGGGGAGGCTGACATGTTTGTCGCAGGGTGGGGGTGTATTTTTCTTACACTCCTTGACAGGAGATTGTGTCTGAAGCTGTCAGGAGTTTATGCTAAGCAGCCGCTCTCTGGCTCTCGGACAGAGTCTAAAGTTTCAGTCTGTTTGTATTGGGCTGTCATGTTATGGGATTAGGGGCTGTCACAATGGCTTCTGGGTGCATCGTAGGGGGTCTGATTAAGCGCTTCTGTGCAGCAGGCTCTTCGGGGCTGGCCATCAGAGTTATTGGGGGAGCCTCAGCAAGAGGCCCTTTTGCATGGGAAAGCGCCAGTCCTCTGCGATGAGGAGGAGATGGCCCCTCTGCCCTGCCCCTCCGATGGACATGAAGTCAAAGGGCACGTTTTCCAGGGAGGGCCTGGAAATGCACTCGCATCTATTGGCCTGCATGAAACCCCAGGCTTATGTGGGCACCTAGCCATTTTGTGGGTGCCTTTCCCAGAGTCCCACATGGCTTAGGAGAGAAGTGTGAGTTCCAGTGAGAGGGTTGCCTGTGCTTTCTGGCCTCAGGAGCCCAAGGGAGATGTCAGGTGAGTCTTTGTGTGCCCCAAGGACAAGGGGCAAGGATGGAGAGTGTTCAGGCTGGCCTTTGCAGGTCTGGTTGCTACCAGAGAAGGGGAGGAACAGAGAGAATAAGCAGGATGAGAGAGTGAGTGTGGCTAGGGGGACAATAGGCCCACAGTAGAGAGGGCTCAGAGAGTGAGAGTGCGAATAGTGTGCAACAGGCACAGCTAGAGAACAAGGGAGCGGCAAGAGCATCAGAGCACAACGAGGGTGAAGAGGGATCAAGGGGATGGCAAGAGCACCCCAAGCATGCAGAGTGGCCACGACAAGGTGTGGCGAGATAGCAGCTGGGGTGCAGAAAGTGAGGGCGTGGGTGACACTGTCTGGTTTTGAGGACAGGTGTGTGACCGCAGGGGCAGAGCGAAGGCTGCACGCTCCTTTCCTGCCTTTGGAGCTTTAACCCTTTCTTAGCCTGGACACTCTTAAAGGCCATCTGAAAAACAACAACAACCGCGCAGCCCTAATGTTCTCTTTGTGCAGTTTGCTGCTTTTAATTGGATTAAATCTTGTTAATAGTTAATAATTATACAAGTAACTTTGTGGTAGGGACTGATCAGTTCAAGACATTCCCTCACCTTGAAGTTAAGGTCCTTCCTTCCTGTCTCTCCGTTTCCACCTTGACTAGCTGTCACATATGAGTAAACTACATTAAAATGACAAACCCCAGCGAAGATTGTGCAGAGAAGCATAGGGACGGAATTTTGTGTGTGTGTGTGTGTGTGTGTGTGTGTGGCAGAGAAGGGGTGTTACTGACTGATACTAAACCCCAGGACTATTCCCCCTCTTTCCCCTCCCATCTGATTTTCCTGCCTCGGGATACAAGTAAATTGCACTGAGGCCAATGGGGGAGTTGCTTGCATTCCCTGGGGCTAGAATTTGGAGCCCTATCTTTCCTACAGACACTTCTGATGTAACTCCATTGGCTTCAGTGCAATTATGACAGTGCCATCTTGGCCAATGCACCGGGCCTTGAACTGGGGACCTCCAGAGCTAGAAGCCTGAATAGCTACAGCTTAAGAGAAAGAATCAAGGCTCCCTAGGTAGGGCTGCGTCCAACTTGTATCCTCTGTGGCTCTGGCACACAGGGGGTCTGTAACACACACTCACCAGTGGGTTACACAATTATACCAGAGGTGAATTTTGCCTGGAACATTCAGAGACCCATTCAGCCAGATTCAGTCCTGGTGTAAGTGGCTGCACACTGAAGTCGGTGGCATTTCACGCACTTACATCAGGGCTGAATGTAGCCTGATGTGTTTTAAAGGAGGCCTCTCTCTGTGGTGTTGCTGAAAGACTGTGGGTGAACTCCACGTTACGTTCCCTGAGACCCAGGTCCTTCACAAGGCGTTGGGAGTTCATGGCAGTTCCTTCTTTCAGAGGGTAAACACTGGCTGGCTGTGTTTTAAGGCAGCTGGGTGGGGTCAGATGTTTGTAGATGGGCTTTGCGTTTCTGAATGACAGAGCTGTCCCTCTAATGTTGTGTATTTCTCCCTCTGTCTCTTTCCAGCTGAAAGAAGTATATGCACTGACGCAACCTCAGGAAAATCCAAGATGGCTGCCAAGCGCAAAGGCGGCCTGAAGCTAAATGCAATCTGTGCCAAGCTCAGCCGCCAGGTGGTCTTCGATCATGGGGGATCGGAACAGGTGCGGTTGGACAAGGGTCCCCAGAGGGAAAGCGGCAACAAGGAACCGCCCCAGCCTGAGACCAAGGAGCTGGGGGCCAAGTTTTCTGATGGACTTAACCGTGTTCAGAAGATAGAGGAGGACAAGCGGAGGGAGGTGATTGAGAAGTGGGTGAACGGGGAGTATAATGACGAGACCTTGCTGGGCCGAGCAGAGGGCAAGGAATGTAAGGCCACCGAGAGCGTGGAGGTGCCCCCCGAAGGGGTTTACATGGTACAGCCCAAGGGCTGCAGCGATGAAGAAGATAATGGGGACGATGCAGACGGCAGCTTCCCGGACGACAGGGATTCGGATGGGCCTGCCTCCAAGGATGAAAGTTACCGACCTTCCAGCGGCCAGACGGGCTCCAAGCTGGCTGGAGGAGCTGCCTCAGGTAAGTCATTGCCCCATCTTCCACCCCGCACAATGGAGTCCCGAGACCAGCATTTTAGGCAGGGCAGTGTGAGTCACCTCAGTTGCCCTACATCCATTGGGTAAGCTTGACTACCAGAGCAAAGGAGTGAGCGGCACTTTCAGAGCCCCTAAGTTCTCTACTGCAGCGGGCGGGCTGCTCTGTGATTTACAGCTGGGAGCTGCCCTTGAAGTCCCACTGCCCTGGAACTCCTTCTGGGGATTCCTTCATCTGGGTAGATCCCAAATACCACCCCGGATTCCTTCAACAAATGGATCCCAGATCCCACCCCTGGATTCCTTTATCTGGGTGGATCCCAGATTTCTTTATCTGGGTGGCTCCCACCCCACAGACCCCTTTATCTGGTTGGATCCATCCCCCGCCCCACAGATCCCTGTATATAATTTAGATGAAGATAAAGGCATTTGGCACTACGTTTCATGTTCAGGTTTCCCGGTGGAGGGTAGGGCCCAAGCTGCTCTGCTAGCCGAACTTCCAGTAGACTGCCAGTGTATTTATACACACACTTGCCTGCGCGCTCCCCAGTATATGGCAGGCAGGTTTGTGTAAGGAATATGGATGGTTAGACCACAGGCTTGGATGAACAGAAAGGCTGCTGTGTGTGTGTGTGTGTGTGTGTGTGTGTAGTTATGTGACTGCTGCCTTCACGATATTTGTGTCTGTTGCAAGTAAGTTCGTGTGCACATACATGTTAGTTGCATGTGTTCACATCTATGTATATGTGGTGTGTCTGTGTTTGTGTATGAATGCTGCATGTTTTTGTGTGTGTGCATGTAGGTTGCATGTGTCCATGCAAGTGCTTGGCTGCTGTGTGTGTTTGTTTATGCCCATGTGTGCAGATTGAAGGCAGCAGCTCTGGGTGTAACTTGCAAGCTATTGTTATTTCTTCTTATTATCTAAGGTGAGCCTTGAAAAGAGTCCAGGTGAATGAAGGAGCTGTGGTGTGGGCAGATTAGTTGGGAGATTAGAACCGAGTGTAGGCTGTGTCTACACTGCCACTTTCAGCACTAAAACTTTAGTTGTTCAGGGATGTGAAAAAATACACCCCTGAGCGACAAAAGTTTTAGCGCTGAAAAGCGCCAGTATAGACAGCGCTTTATCGCCGGGATCTGAATAAAACTACCACCGCTCATTCGGGGTGGGTTTTTTTTATCGCTAAGATAAAAGTGGTCGCGCTGTAACGTGGGCAGTGTAGACATCCCCTCAGAGAGGACTCCCTGCCGTCTCCTCCAGAGCAGCAACCCTGCCACTGGCCCAGTGACAAACATCTCCGACTTGGACACCACAATCTTCCACCGCTTTGTTTAGTTCTGTGAAAAAACCAGATTTCTCCTGCCAGAGCAAACTCCTTAAAAATGTCTTTCTTTCTTTCTTTCTTTCTTTCTTTCTTTCTTTCTTTCTTCTTCTTCTTCTTCTTCTTTCTTTCTTTCTTTCTTTCTTTCTTTCTTTCTTT